CTTCAGTTATCCTCCTTCTGTTGAGAGCAAAAGACCAGGTCAGAGTGTGCCAGATGAATGTTTGGGACTAGAAGATACCTGGAACTGGTCCAAGTGGCAGCCATGAATGGTGACACAGATGTTGGAAACCATCTGGGAACTTCTTCATCATCTCAGAGCCCACCCTGGCTAGTTCAGGTTTGGCCTCAGGGAACACAATACTGCAACAAAACTCCTGCCCTGTCCCAAGGACTCACCTTCAGGAATTCATGCTCAAGGCTTGGTGAAGATTGGATGATCTAGTCGACCAGGATATGGATCCAGTAGACACTTCTCTTCTCAAAGTCACCCTCTTGCTATACAGAGATTTTGGGTGGGCATACCTGAGAGAGGTTTCACCCCATGTCTCTTCATCTATTAAGGTTTCTGTGATACCTCCTAGATAGACCATCCAAGGTCATATACCAGGTTTATGAAACTGTAACATTAGCTGATTTGGCTTTCAGCAACCAAACTTTCTGACTGCAGCCTGCTTCATGTACCTGTTGGGTTCTCACTTTACATTTTTACACTTAAAAGTGATGTGACTTAGAGCTGCTGTAATATACAGGCAGAGAGGAACTCGGGGCCAGTCTTTCTGTGCTGAATGAGGGAGAGAACTGGCTCACAGAAAGTGTCTGAATGTTTCTGCTTACTGATTTTTACAGATCCAAGCAAAAAGGGCAAAAAGTCCCCCTCTGTCTAGTGATAAGTAGGTGGAAGGAACAAGGAAAGCTGTACGACAGCCTCATTCCCACAGGCAGAGGTGAATGTCTAGAGCAGGCTTCTGCAACCGGGTGGCCTGCAGAGGCATTCTGACCGCCAGTGGGGCCATTGACTGGGAATTCTGAGTACTGCAGTTCAAACACGTCTGGAAGACACAAGGTTGGGGAAGGGTGGTCTAGAGAGATTATTTATTGTTGGTTAAACGTAAGGACTGGCAAAGGAAGCTGCATTCTGGGCAGTGAGTAAGAGTAGCCAGCCAGTGTTTGGGCTGCAGCCTTCCAAGCCTGGAACAGGACTTTTTTACCGTACGTTCTACCTCTGCATGGATCCTTCACAGCTGGGCTCTGCATTTGGGCGCTCTGGAATGCCTTCAGGTCAGGTGCAGATGCTTCGAATGAGCATTTGCCACCTGGCTTCTAAAATGGCCTTGAGCTAGCCCTGCTTGATGCCAGGTAGGTCTCTGCAGGTGGGATGATGTGCAGCAGTTTTATAAAATGAAGATGTAGCCTTGGAAGCTAAAGTGAAACACTGGGACCTGTGTTGATTAGGCAATGTGCTAGGTGGACTGTATGGCTCTGCAGAATAGTTTGGTGATCAGTTTACATTTAGGATTACAGTTAAGGTGTTCTGGACTAACAGGAACTTCGTGGCAGGCTTGATTTCTGCTCTATCTAAAAAAATTCTAGGTCACCTAAAAGGGTAGAGCCCTTTCATAGTAGGGTACGAGATAAAACCACACAAAGCAGTTTTTTTACTTCTGTGTGTCCTGCCCCATTCCACATTTTTTGGTTCACCAAGCAATCTGTCATCAATGTTGGGAGCTTTGCTTTGCATAAAAGGCACATTGGAGCTTCCAAGTTGTACTATAAACCTTGTTTTCATATGCCTACATTTATTTTTAATGTTATAAAACCAATCTGAATGCTTTCTTCCAGTTGATACTTTTATGCATTGAACCCATCTTGTGAACAGTTCTGACGCAGCATGAATACCTGTTAGGCTGGGCCTGCCTTGGGAATTTTCCAGGAGGCATTCAAGTGTGGTTTTACTGTCATTGCAGCAGTTCAGAAAACTTTGTGTTAAAGGATGGACCTTGCCATCTTAAGAAACCATTCTCTGAATCTCTTTTTCATAAAATACAGAATACTAACAAATTTGTTCGAAATAACAAACAAATGTCATTAGAGCTTGATCTTAGTTAAACTAGTTAAATTGTGAAAAAAAGAAAAGAAATTTAATGTGTTTTGAGCTGATTGGCATGCACAAATCCAGCTTGGAATATGTTGCTCTCTCAGCAGCCATTAAATTGATGTCATTGCTCTTATGAGTCGAGGCATAAAACTTAATAGAATAAATAAACAGTCATAGAAACACTAGTTTATGTGCACGGGGCCAAATTGCAGCTGTGGGGGAAGATGCATTTCTGTAAAATGTTGACAATCAATATTTTAAATGAATCTTAGAAATCTTCCTGGGCTGCAAAAGATAATTGCTGTGTGCATCTCCGCAACCCTTCCCAGCTGTGTTATTCCAATTCTGTGAGTGAACACAATGTTTTAATGTTTTAAGAACTTATCACAGGTTTTGAACTGGCTTATATAACGCCGTGATTCATTTGCAGTCTGCGGATGTGTTTGAACTCCAGTGAGGGACGGCTTCTCTGTCGTTTGTAGTCTAAAGCACAACTGGAGTTTGAAAACATCGATTCCACAGGGTACCGCTCTGCATCTGTGGCTGAAAGCCGTTCTTGCCAGAGTGCAGCGGCCTGTGTTTGCAAGTGCCTTCTTTACCTCTTCACTGCTTCTTTAGCAAAAGGATGAATTGCTTTGCACACAGACTCTCCATCTATCTTGGAAACAATAGCAGTAAGCACAGTCTTCCACAGAAGAAAAAGAGGAGGAACAACCCTTTCCCCAAATGCTGGTGTAATTTAGACCCTTGAGGAAATACCCTCTTTCTAAAACGCATTAGCCTGGATGAATGACAGCCATCAAGGCTGTTTCTTACAGACTTGGCTGTCCATGCTTGGGCATGTCTTGGAGCCGAAGAGCAGCAGGGGACTTGTTCATGAACTGTGCTCCACTCAGCAAAGGTGTCCTTGCCACAGGGCTGCTGCTTTACGGGGTGATACGGAAGGCCATGCCAAGCAAGGGGGTGGGAGACGGGCAGAGCATGTGGGCCTCTGGGAGGCTTCCAGGCACAAGCCCAAATGAAACGAGTGCGGCGTCATGCAGGTTTCCCAGAAAAATTCCAACTGGAATTGGTGTTGGAAAGTATTTTGTTTGCTTTTGTCAATAGAAAGTAATAAATAAAACACCTTCGAGGGTACTCTAATTTAAGGATGCTTATTTTACTATCTCTATTAAATAAGAAAAGTTTAAAAAGCCAACATGTTTTTGACATGACATATTCGAGGGAAGAATAATCATGTTCATCACTTAATCTAATTTGAGTAGTATATCAGGTCGACAATTTTATTTGAATGCTTGCAAAAAATTAAAATGCTTATTTAAATGTAAGGAAAAACTGATGGCTTTGGCATTGACAACAGAATCAACCCGTGAAGGCCAGTACCTTTTAGCTGCCCATGACATGCTGGCATCCACGCGTCTAACGCTCTGAAACGGCCAGCTTGCCCTGTGCTGTATTTGCATTTGGCATTCATTCGTTGTTAGTATCAAAATTATAAAATGGAAAACGTCCTGCTGAAAAATGTAAAGCACAGGAAGATTTTCTGTTTTGGAAAATGTTCTGCCTGACATGCTTGACTTTTGCTCTCCTGTTCTGATTTGCTTGCGTAGGTAGAGCTGCTCAGGAGTTTGTGGGCCAGATTCCGTGCCCCTTGCACTGTGGACCGGGGCCTTGGAGCACGGCTTCTGGCTGCACGCGCACTTGCTGCTACGCCTTGCTCTCTCCAAGTGACCGCCAGCACTGCTCTTCAGCGCAGAACTGTGGCCGCGGGGCCAGCGTCCCAGGGGCCGGGGGATGGCCTGCAGTGTCTGCCTGGCATTATTGCAGCCCCGATGGGCATCCGAGGGGTGAGGGAGTCTGCAGGACTGCCCCATTGGGCACTTCGCCGGGACGCTGCTTGTGTGGGAGAGGGCTGGGCAGCGTGGCGAGCTCTGCAGATCTCTCCTTCGTGATGTGGAGACGAGCAGCCACTTGGGGGCAATATGTGATAGTAGCTGGAGAACCCATAGCCCGTCGGAGCGGTTGTGGTTGTGCTCTGCGTAAAGATTAATATTGATGCTGTGCAGGGGATCCTGAGACTGAGCGATGCTGGCAGGGTGGGAGGGGGTTCTTCTGCCTTATGGTTTTGGCGACTGGCCATATGTTTCCACCTGCCATTTTATTGATTCATGGAGGTGGAAGACCAGCAGAATCTTTCTTGCTTTAAAGAAGCTTCTCTCTTGCCTTGGCCCCTTGGTTCCACATTACCAGCTTTTTTTTTTAAGCAAAGCTTTATTTTAGCAGTGCTGATGGGGATGTTGATATGCAGCCATTCTGGAGGGCGCTTCTCTTTGGGTTGCCGCCGTTTCCCAAGCTGCGGATGAGTTTCTTGATGCGGTCCTGCCCCTTGCTCACTTGGCTGCTTGAGAGTCTGTACTGTGGACTTCCTTTCATGAACCCCGCAAATGAATGGTATCTGTCTCGAATGGAATGACTGTCACCCCACGAAGCACAGGTGGGCAATTCGTAACCCATGCACAACCTCTGCACAGCCTGTGGGACCCCAGAGTGGCCTTCCCTTTCTCTCCTGCTGTTCAGCTGATCAGCCACTACATGGGCAGGGGATGGGCAGAATTCTGTTGTTAACAGTGAGGAACCAACCCTCTGCCTTGTGGTCTTGTGTGTGTGTGTGTGTTGTGCTGGAGCCTCATCCCAGAGAGCCCGATGCAGTAATTTCATGAAAGGAGCATGCCACTCGTGTGTGTGTGTGTGTGTGTGTGTGTGTGTGTGTGTGTGTGGTGGGGAGGGAGGGCGGGCAGGCAGAGGCATTAACTTTGGCCTCCTTCCAGTGATCCTGATGTAGAGATAATTGTAGGGACAGGGGAGGCAAGTCATCCCCCCACGGAAATACAGTTCAGCACCCCTGCCTTATAGCGTCAACAGGTTCTGTGTTGCTCTGCTTGCCCCCTAAGTGTGTTATTTTCTGTTTTTTCTCTCCTAATAGTGGTGATAAAGAAGACCACATGCAAACTGAAGCGCATCTGATGTGAGAGCAGGAGCTTCTAACTTTTGTCTCTTCATTCCAGGTAAAATGGAAGGGGAAGGACCTGTTTGACCTGGTATGTAGGACAGTGGGACTCCGTGAGACGTGGTTCTTTGGACTGCAGTACATGATCAAGGACACGGTAGCATGGCTCAAAATGGACAAGAAGGTATGAATATGCCTTTCCCTTGAAAAATGTCTGTACACAGAAGGAAAATAACAGGACTGCAGTGGCTGAATGGATGGTTTTGGCATTTAGGATTCAGCAACATGACACCTGCTTGTATAACTTATTCTTTGCTGCCAGAACCTGGAAATATGCCTGCAAGACCATTTATTAAATAAATAACATTTATAAGCTGCCTATTTCCCTGATGTCATCTTTAGGCAGCTGATAATTAAAATACACTATAAATAAAAACCAGTAAACTACAAACTGACACAAGTAGAAGATCTAATATAAATATAAATGTGGCTGAACTAATTCAAGGAGATTATGATTGCATCAGTTGGATATTAAAGCATCTTTTAAAGAGGTAGGACTTTGCCTGGCATCAAAAGGAGTGCAAGGAAGGCGCCTGGCGAATCTCCTTAGGGAGATTCTGCAGAGCCGGCACTGTCCTTGCTTAATCTTATGTCGCTGGAACCCTCCCTGCTTACGTGCGCACGCACGCACGCACACGCCTGTTCCTATAACGGAACAAGAGTGCACACTTCCCCATTCTTCCCTACTTTAGGTAGTCCATCGAGTGAGTGAGTGGAGTGGTTTAGCCCCAGTGCTGTGGGTCCACATGTCACACTCACAAGGTGATGGAAGGTTGTCGACTAAAAACAGAAGTGAGGGCCATGTGGAAGCAGTTGTTGGTCTGCACCTGAGTATTGCAAATTGTGGGTTAATTAATATGTGAGTTAATTAACTCCTGATTTGCCTTTCATTAACCCGCAGCTTGCCGAATCAACATTTTGAATGCTCAGATGCTATTACTCATACTTTTGTTGTGCAAAAACATACTGGCCCTGGAGTTCAAATTATTTAAGCCAAAGCTAATGTATTTATTTGGGTTTTTCTATGTAGCTGTGGATATGAAGACGTAAAGGTACTGAATGAAACTGGAAAAAAATTAGGGGAAAAAAGTTTTTTCTTTTTCCTTTTTCTTTTCCCAAGGAATGTTATTTCTTTGAAAAATTGGACAGCTTTGAATTACGAAATACTTTCATTCTGAATTTAAGACAAGATACTGTTATCCAGCTGTTACTTCGCACTAAAAACTGTATTTATTCAATTCTGTAAATAATAAATAAAACACTTTTCTACAAAGACTACAGCTGGTAATAATGACATCATGGAGAATTTTTGTTTAATCCTCCCTGTGAGAGTCCTAGCATAGTTATATTTTACTTTCCATATTCAAATTATTCTACCTTTTACCAATAATATTTAATGATCTCCCAACCTGCCCAATTTTCCAATGGAGTAAACGGAGTCACGGTATTATAATATGTGCATTCTGGGCAGAGTCCTTTGCTTCTGGGTTTGTTCTGGCTGGATGAAGTAGTGCTCCATTGCTCTTGTTCTAACCCAAAACGTGTGGGGAAAAAAGCCACTGTAGGTTACCCCACCACTGTCAGTAGATAAGATGGAGCAGTGTATGGATTGTCCACCCTGTGTTTCTTTTTTCCCTCGAACAAAAACCTGTGGCTTGGGCTGTAGAATTAATTGCCACCGTTTTTAATAAAGTTCTGCATTTAGACCTCACCCCCAGGAATCACTGCCTAAGCTATAAAAGTCTTTAACTGCTGCCTCTTTACCCAAAAGAAACTCAGTACTCTGGTTCCTGTAGTGAGATTGATGTTTCCATTAGAGAGCACCTTTCAAAATGAACACATAGTAGGATCTTCATTCCCACTGATTATTTACAAAGGTGAATAAAATGTATCTTCAAATAATAGGCTGAGATTGTTTAAAGGTTCTTAAATTAGACTGTTTACCATTCCTAAGTAGAGCATTTCCAAGTTCATAAAATCTTGGTAGCTTTTCCTTTAGATCAGATTTCCCTGAGCTTCACCTGAGGAACATGAATAGGCTTAGGAATTTCCGTAAACTCCCTTTCGGAGAGAAGCAGCGGCTGTATATCAGTCTGCCTCTGCCTTCCTGCTCCTTCTGGCCTGGTGCTGCGGGGACTACCTGCTGACATTTCCTCTGGTCAGGCATAAAATGAAGGCCTTAAATTTATGATATATATCTTGGTTTGTTCAATACAATTATGATGTGTGGTATGTTAACTGTATAGTTTATTCAGACTGTAAGTGCAAATTTTCTAACTGATGTTACTTTTAAGAGGTTGAAAATAAAATTATGATTTTATGAACAAACCCAATTAATACACAAGAGCAACTTTTGCGTAGCATGGCAACCCATGGCATGATCGGTTGACATGTCATTTGAACTTAGACTGTTTCCCGGATGGTGGTGTATTTGGGGGAAGCAAGCCACCCTGACGCTGCGTGGCTTGCTTGAGGGGCTGTTCAGCCTCCTGCAGGTGGTTGTGTCACCTGAACCTGGGAGACAAAATTCATCATGGGCGGTTTTGGGTGTGGCTACTGAACTGCTGGGCAAGCGTTTGGAAGAAGGCTTGCCTTTGTTGTCTTACTTGTGCTTCTTCCAAGGACAACTCTTCCACTGATGCCCAAGCAGCCCTTTGGATTAGCCATCACTAGTTTGCCGTCCTTTTTAAAATGCAAAACTCACTCCCAGAAATTTGTGCAAATACTGTCATAATTTTGTTCCCTGTCTTCTTGAGGCGTATAAGTGTACATTATTTATCTGGGTATTTTTACCCCATCCAATACGTTGCGAGTCTCTGGACGGCATCTGTGGCTTATCTTTGAAGACCTGGTGAGTTTTAGCTGTCAAAGTGTTCTTGATTAAATACATGGAAATTGGCTGGGTAGACTGCATATAGATTCATTTGCTCACAGTTGCTGAGCTGTCACTTGGGCAGAATTTGGTGCCCTCAAAGAGGGTGGTCCTTTAGGTTTCAAATATTCTTTGCTTTCTCCACATTTTAATTCTTTCTCAGGCCTTTGAATTCTCCAGAAAGGGGATGAATTCTCATTGCCATGCACTTCTTCTTGTAGCTCCTTTTTAGACCACTTCTGTGGTTTTGAAGATTGCTGACAGTCCTGAAAACACACACACACAGCCAGAGTGAGTGAGCGAGCAACTGAATGGGGTGGAATGAACTGGGCTACTGGTGCCCCATTCTGCAACCTCCAAGCATTTGTTTTTTAATTCTCTGGAAAGCTTGCACATTTCTTATGCAGATTTCCTGGCAGGGAAGAAGGTGGAGGCAAAGGTCTTGCACTGCCAATTTCAATCTGTGTTACCAACTGCACTTTGCTTCCTTTGGCAACTGAAACTTACAAGGACATTGAGCAGACAAGACTGCATAGATTTCTGACAGCCAGAAGTACGCACTTGTGTACCTCTGAAGGACTGAAAAGGATATTTTTGAAAAACTTTCACCATTTGCACACCTGTTGGGGCTGTGATTTAAAAAAGAGAGGTATGGCCCCAATTGAAACTCTGAAAAGATGCCAGCAAACAAGAGAGGATCATGATCAGAATGGGGAGGGGGAGGCAAGACCTGAAGGACACAGGGACACTGGCTGCAGGCCCAGGTGGGGATGAGGTACAGAACAAGCCCAGTGAACCTGATTGTCTTTTGGGTGTATGGTGAGTTGTTCTGCAGATAAGCAGTCCAGTGTGAATTACCTGCAGGTTGGCTTAATGTGTGATGCCAAGCCGCCTGGTTTAACTTTAGGAAAACAAAGCCTGCTTTAGCTTCCGGAAAGCAGCCATCTGCAACCTCCTGATGTTTTGGACAAAAATGCCTAGAATTCCTGAACCTTGGCCTTGCTGCCTGAAGTTGATGGCAGCTGAAGTCCAAAATATGTGGAGGGTACCAGGTTGGAGAAGGCTGTCCCAAAGCAGCTAGGTGACTTTAGATCTGTAAAGAGCACTAAAAGTGAAGCATTGCTTATTTTTCAAGTTTTCACATCCATTTTTCCCCCTCATAGCTTCGAACTATCTAGAAAGTTTACATTTCTATGTAGCCATGCAGTTAATATCTTAAATAGTTATTTTATTTTTAGCTTCCAGTGTGAGACAAAAGCTGAGTAGCTTTGTGGGGAAAATGCTCAAATAGATCCAGACAGGTGATGCGAGAGGGAAGCTTACTTGCACAATCTGCTCCTGAAGGCAAAGAACACGAATGACCATGTTCTCCGTCTGCCCAATAATGCATGTCCTTGGTAGCTTTTATTTGCTGGAGCAAACAAAGCCATTCAGCATAAACAGCCTTCAGTCTGGCAGCTCTGGAGGTGTTGAACTACAATTCCCATATCCGTGGCCAGGGTGGCAGATGGCCAGGATGGTGAGAGCTGTATGGAGTCCAACAGTCGTGAAGGCTACCAGACTGGGAAATTTATTGAAACAAGCAAGACTCTCCCTTTTTATTTCAGTTGTTTAAACTCATGTCACCTTATCTATAATATCCCAGTTTCAGAATCAGTGAGGCTGGGTTCAAAGAACATGGGATTGCTGTTGAATGGTCATTAAAGTGTGAGGTCCCTTTTAGCATTTACACCAGGACATTCTATGATATCTTTATGGTAATGAGCCCCTATGGGGTGGTCTCTTTTGGCCTGTTTCCTTTTAATGGCAAAAGGGTCTTCCTTTCCTAGCACTTGTTCGGCTGACTCCTGAGCATGCTGGCTCAGAAGTAAGCCTGTTGAATTCAGATGGGGCCCACTTTGGGTCATTGTCTTCTACTCTTGTAGCACTTCTGCCACGTAATCCCATGCCATTACATTTTTGGACAAGTTTAACATATCTGCGTCACATGTACCACTGGCTAATTTTCCCACTGGCAAGCTTGAGCGGAAACAGGTTTCCTGCACTTAAGTCAATTTTCAGGCAGCTGAAATTCAGTGACATTTGGGTTCCAGGCAGATCATATATTAGAACATTCACTCGGTGTGTAGTTCCTTCTAGCTTGCTGTGTTCGCGTTGACTGATGAGACTTTTCAGTGGCTGCTAACAGGAGCTGTTGCGAGCAGCAATGCAGTGCCAAGTCAGCGCATCTGTTTACTAGTAACCCAGGGCTCTAGTCCACACTGCAGTTCCCTAACGATCAGACTTCATGCCGTCAAAGCATCAGGGCAAGACTATACCAGGATGAAGAGCAGAACGTTTTTATAGTGATTGTCAGGAGCAGTTTATCACTCTGTGGACTTCCAGGCAGTTCAGCAGTCTTTCGAAAGAAAAAGTGAAAAGGCATATTAAACACTTAGAATTAGAGCACGCACAACGGAGCACAAGCTCATGTTTGCAGCATAGACGTGAACTTGAGCATCCAGCATCTGCTTCTGAGCTACTATCTTTTGAAAGGGGTGGAATCATAAGGTGATTTAACTTCCAAATCTTGACTTCAGATCAGCATGTCTGAATGGTTCTAGGTAGGAATTAGTTTTTCTGTGCTGTATATAGGACTAGACCTTATTTTGGCAGATTAGTGTGAATTGCTGTAAAACTGGGGTTGGAATGGTTTGATTTAAAGTGTCTGGGAAGAGCGGGGAGTCTCCCTCTGCTACATGTTCCTCTTGGTTGGGAGCTGAGACAAAACTGAAGATGGCAGGGAGAAAGACAGCTCTCATTTGAGAAAGAAAAGTGGCAGGTGAGGGAATGGATTTAGCATCTTCTTCTTCCTGTCTGTCCCTCCTTGCCTTCCAGTCACCTTCATTTGCACGCAGTTTTCTCCAGGCCAGGTGAGAGAGATGAGCAGCATGGCAGCTGTAAAGAGGTGGAGCCTGTGCAGCTCGGAGGGATTAACTGGCAATCTGCCTCTGCAGGTCCTGGACCACGATGTCCCGAAGGAGGAGCCAGTCACTTTTCATTTCCTGGCCAAGTTCTATCCAGAGAATGCGGAGGAAGAACTTGTTCAGGAGACGACTCAGCGCTTATTCTTTCTTCAGGTATGTGTTTGTAGGAGACGCTGATGCTTTTTCAGCTCGGGGAAGATGCGTTTTCAGGCTGGAATGGAAATTTTGCTTTGTTTTTTCCCCCCTCCCCTTGTTCCAGTATCAAGAAGCTTTGTGTTCTATTTGAATTTACGAGGTGAGTTTGAAGCTCCCTGTATGGGAAAGCTCCCTTGTGAATGTGGGACACCGCATCACTGTTTGACTGGGATGAGTGGGGAAAAGAGCACTCCCCCCACAGCAGCCCAGGAAAGACCCCCAGGTGGCTTTGGTAGTATGGCCTGGAGCCACTTTGCCTGCTTGCCAAATGGACAAGATTATACAGTGGTACCTTGGCTCACGAATGCCTCAGTTCACAACCAAATCAGGTTGCAAACAGAAATTTCAGAAAAATTATGCCTCGGGTTGTGAACTCCGCATTGGGTGACGATCGCGTCCCTGTGCGATTGTGATTGTGCTCGGTGGGAGATGGCCACGATCGTGCCCTTCTTCCCCGCATGAGCGTGCCCACGATCACGCCTGTCTTCCCTGCACGATTGTGCTCGGGGGTGGGGTGGGGAGATGGCCACGATCGCAGTTGTGCTTGTGCAGGGAAGACGGGCGTGATCGCGGTCATGCTGGGGGAGGGAGATGGCCGCGCTCTTTGTTGTTCTTTGTCACTGCTTCAGATTTTTGTGATTAAAAGAAATAGTCACAGAACTGATTAACCTTATTTACATGGACCCTTACGGGGAAATTTGACTTGGCTCACGACCGATTGGGGTCGTGACCAGAGTCGTGGAATGGATTAAGTTCGTGAGCAGGGGTACCACTGTATATGTCTGCAGCACTCCTCTATGTGTCAACAGAGCTTTGCGAGGCTCCCGGGTCTTGGGTTGCAGACTCCTTGTGGAGGGGAGAAGTCACCCTTCAAGTGGTTTGTGTTGCGGGGGGGGGGGGCAAGTCTCTCTAGCGTGGGAGCTCAGCAGGCCTTCGTGGCGGTGCGTGGCTGAATACGGCCGACTCAGACGGGTGATACACAACTTGGGAAATCCAGTCTAAGTTGTGGGTGCTACAGATGGTCTGTTTTTAAGCAAAAGAAGGAACTTGTACTTGCAGATGTGTTGCTTTAGCACACCTTAACATGCTGCTCTTGTGCTTCTTGAATGAAGATTTTTGGGTTTGATGTTGCCTGTGGTGTTTGCATAAGTGTTACTTGATTTTTATCTACCAGCCAAGTCGTCTTTGTCGTCATCTTTTATGAGTGCTGGTGGGACTTTGGACCCTGAAGTTTTCATCTGCAATGGTGCTGTGGTACTTGAAGGTAACCCCACGGTGTTCAGGGGTTTGCTTTCTAGTGAGTGTTTTTAGGAGTGCGGCCTGAGAATTGTGACTGAGAATTAACCGGCTGGTAGGCAGCCACAGTTGCAGTGGGAGAAAACTGTAGCCATCTGTTGAAGCTGCCATTCTTAGAGCTGTTGTTTGTTTCTTGTTGTTTTGTTCAGGTAAAAAAGCAGATCTTGGAAGAGAAGATTTACTGTCCTCCTGAGGCATCTGTTCTCCTTGCCTCCTATGCAGTGCAGGCCAAGGTAAGGCTGGGGGCGGAACTGGGCTGCTCTCCTTCCCGGTCTGTGTCCGACTTTAACTCGGTTTTGTTTCATCCACATGTCAACTGCTACATTATAATTAAGTATGTGGCACAGTTACGTCATCAGTGATAAAGCTCTTAAAATTTATTAAGTACCGTATGCCGATTTTGTCTCCAATAAAATACAATTTATTAAAGATAATTATGTCGCACACTTCAGGCAGCTGTCAACTGCAAAAAGGATCGAAAATAAAAGTACATAAAGCCGTAATAGGCACTTCAGCTCTCATAGCATAGAAACTTGGAAACAGTGCAGGTCAGATGGGGCCTCCCGGGCCAACTAGTCTGTCCCCTGGCTTCAGCCAGTTCCGCTCATGACATGCCTACCACGTGCATGTCCAGTGATAGCAGTGATAAAACAAGATTAAACTTTCTAATAGTGGATTGAAAGGCCTCAGAAAATAAGGACGTCTTCATTGTGTGCTGAATAGACCACAAAGTAGGCAGCAGGTTGAGCCCCTTCAGGGAGGGTGTTCCGGAAGTAGGCTGCCGGCACCGAAAAGGCCCTGTTCCCGATAGCCACTCCTCAACGCTTATTTGGTGGGCATGTCGAGAAGGTGCCGTCATGATTCTGGACAGGTTCTTGTGGAGATGCATGTGCTTCAGACAGACTGCTGTCAAGGTGTAAATTGAACTCTGCCAAGAAATGCACTAGAAGCCAGTGCACTTGATTAAGCTCAAAATAATGGATACTCCCGGCTCCTTGCTGCTGTCTGCTGCAGTAACAGAAGCTTGCAGATCAATTCAATGTTAGTTCCCCTGATACAGATTTTGAGGAACTGGAAGAGGATGCAGCTGTTTGTTTCCATGGACACCCCTCTTGACTCAAGGCCCTCAACCCGAGCAGAGTCAGTGGGACCTCTGCCCCTGCTGAGGGTTGCACTGTTGTCCTCTGACTCAGAGGGCATCTTTCTGAAGCTGCAATCACACCCCAGGTGTCTCTGTGCTGTTCCAGCCAAAGGCAGGGAGGGTCCTTTAAAGGAGAAGTCCTCATGGAGTCTGTGGGAGGATCTAGTGCAGCCGTTCTCTGTGATGCTGCCCTTCAGGTGTGCTCGGACCACGACTCCCATAAAGCCCATGATCATAGCAGTTGTGGTCCTGCTGCACCTGGAAGACGCTGCTATGTAGAGGACTGATCTGGGAACCTTGAGGAAGCCCAAGTTGTTCTGAGGCTTGGTCTGACCCCGCCTGTTGGAGCAACAGGCTGGCAAGATTGCTTGGCGCTCTCCATGGTGCTGTCCGGTTCCTGTCTCCCTGGAAACCTGACTTGCTTGAAACCCTGGTGAGACCTGATCCTTACCAGCACTAAGCTCTTACCACAGCAGAGGCAAAGCAGAACTTCTCCAGGACCCACAGTCTGAAATCCTACACAGTACAGTCTGAAGATCACCAGAACGTAAGTGACCGAGCATGATAACTGGGCCATCTCTGGCCCGGTGGGCTGCAGCTGGCACAGCAACCAGTGTGGGTAAAAGGTGGGCTGTTTCCAGTGACGACGATGGATCGAAGAGCACCCCTCAGACTGCAGACCTGCTCTTCCAAGGGAAATTGTCCCAAACAAGAGAAGCAGGCCTCATCTAGGCAGGTAACTCATCCTGCAACAGTACCTGGTACTGGGAGCAGCAGTAGGTCACTGTCACCTTGCACACACTTGGACAGTTCCTGTTATTCCTCTCTGAGTTCAGATGAAGTTTTACTTGGTTCCCCAGAAGGTGCTGGCTGCTGTTAAGGGTCTGTGTGATATACATGTAGAATTAAGGTTTTTGTATATTAGCAGGCTGGACCTGGTGGCCGTATTGGCCCCATCCAACTCTCCTTCCTATTCAGTGATTCATGGACAAGGTTTCTCATATGAACATCTAGCCATTTCTGAATAAGACTGGATAAGACTGGAGTGGAAGCAGCCGTGCGGAGGGCCCTTAGATTGCTGTTCACCCCCTGCTTTGAAAACTCTTTTAGACGAATTTCCTGCCTGCCTGCCTGCCTCTCAAAATAAATTTCCAGTGAAGCTCTTGATGGAGCAGCAGGTAGATCACTGCTGCACATGATCACTGTGCACATGATGGTCCAGCTTCTGAAGCCACCTTATGGCACAAGTGTTGTCATAAAAGAGATGTGCAGATTCCTGTGGCTTCACTTTCGCCATCTTTGATAGCTTCTTCCTCCCTTCATAGAATAATAGAATCGTAGAGTTGGAAGGGGCCAGAAGGCCATCGGGTGCAGGACTCCAAGTTGAACCATCCCTCTCAGATAACTGCCCTGCTGCACCTTGAATGCCTCCAGGGTGGGAAAGCCCACAGCCTCCTTAGGTCATTCATTCCATTGTCATGCTGCTCTAGCAGTCATGAAGTTCTTCCTTTTTTCAGGCAGAACCTGGCTTCCTGGAACTTGAACCTGTCATTAAGTGGGATGGTGTAAGTTGGTGGTCTGCAACAGCAGGAGGTTGGACCTGATGGCCTTCTTGGCCCCTTCCAACTCTATTATTCTATGATTCCTCTTTGTGACAGCCTTTCAAGGTCATGAAGAGCACTATCCTATCTCGCCTCGGTCTTCTCCAGGCTTAAACGTGCCCAGTTCTCTCAATTTCTCCTGTGTTTCCAGTCCCCGGATCATCCTTGTTGCCTTCCTCTGAACCCTTTCCTGCTTGTCTGCATCTTTCTTCAGTTGAGGTGCCCAGAACCAGATACAGGACTCCAGATGAGGCCTAACCAGTGCTGAGTAAAGGGGGACTAGTACTTCATGTGATTTGGAAGTGATACCTCTGTTAATAGCATTTGCCCTTTTTGCAGCCCATCCCATAGCTGCCTCCTGTTCAGCTTGTGCTCTACAACAATTCAAAGCTCCTTCGCACTTGCAAGTATTCTCCATCTCATAACAGTTCAGCTGTGCTTGTAGGGGAATGGATGGTGCCTTTTTTCCTTGCCTCTCCCTCGCAGATGTTCTCAGCTCCTTTGTTCAACAAACGCGTGATCTTGCATCACCTTGTCTCGGCACAAACAAAGCAGCCCCGCTTGGGGTAGCTCAGTTCCATGGAAAGATGATTCCGGAGACGTAACTATTGATAAGTGATTATTTGTAATGAGCCGTATTCTTTCTGTTTGTGTGAGTGGTGACTAATGCACTTTACCTTACAATCACGGCTCTTGGTTTAGTGAACGAGTAGCGTAGCGAGTAGTGGGAGCAGCTGATTCCCTCAGCAAGTGTTTTGATGAAGGGCGTGCATGCCTTGCATTGAGCCACCCTGTGCTGCCTGCTGCTGGGCTGCCTGGATGAGGGCGTTCATCTTGTGCTTCTCAAGCAGGAGGTGTGCAGAGCAGCTTTAATTGGCAGAAAGTCTCTTTCCAGAGCAGACCTCACCTGCGTCTACCTGTTGAGCTCAGAAATCGTTAGTCCTGTATGCGCGGCTCATACAGTTATGTAAGACCCATATGTTTTTTTCTTGCAAAGGCACTCTTGTTTGTTCATTTCATCTCCTGGCCATATGGTTGGCAATATTATCTTGTCGTACGCGTCCCTGAGACACGGTAGGCAGGGTGGTTTTATAAATCTGCTTTCCAAGAGCAGGTACCCCTCCCTTCCTTGGAAACTGCTGCACTTGACATGCCCAGCACAACGCTTCCTTCGGCTGGTGCCTCTGGCAGAAGCCTGGTGCAAAGGAGGGAAAACCTCTCTTGAGGTGAGAGTTCAGTGGCAATTAAGAATAATAGTTGGCTAGTTTAAGCCAAACCCAAATTAAAATCTGTTTAGTTGCCAAAGAGTAGCTTCACTGAGTAGACTTTGCTGGCTTCTGTCAACTGAGCTCAGAGACCGTTCTTGGGTGATTAGCATTACAGTGGAACAGAATTTCCTCCGTCAGTTGTGGCTTGGAATTGCTGCAGCAGAAGGGCTTCCCCGCCTGTTGGCTGTGCTAGTCCTGCCTTCTCTGCTTGCACGGATGCCCTTCAACCCCTGCCAAAGGGCTGCTGTGCTGTTCAGGAAGGCTGGCCCTACAGCCCCAGAACCCACTTCAGCTCTGATACAGTGACACATCCCCAGATTGAGATAGCGTTGAAATGCGTGTGAAGAGCATCATCCATCCCTGGAAGGCTGAGCTCGTCTTTTTCCTTCTGCAGGCAGGTGGCTTTTTACCCGTGAGCCTAGGAGCCACTTTTCTGTGAGTGGCTCATTCACCCGGGGCAGCAGATGAACAGTCCACTCCAGTGGGGGACAGGCATTTGCCACACACATGCCCCAATCAGTAAGGTGTGGAATACGTGGTGAGGGTCTGTGTGATCAGCCTCGGCTCAGTACTGCAGCAGCCACAGATGGGAGCTGCTCACGTACACGTGGCTCCCATGTAACAAGATGAAGGCTTGGGGATCAGAAAAGCCAGTACGAGCAACCTGTTGACTTCTGCCTAATGTTATGCCCCTTTCCTGTTAGCCCACCAAGTGGGAAGAGAAAGGAGGAAAGAAGGCTGTGGCAAAATGTAAGCAGGAGCAGCTCAGGCACTGGATTCTCAGCCTGCTTGTGCCCCAGTGCAAGGAGGGCCTCCATAAGCGGTTGCAAGGGCTGTTCGACTGGGAAGAAACAGCAGCTCTTCACCTGCTTTGGTGCAGTTTTGCTTTGTTGCGTGGAATCTGGGAGGCTCATCCTTAGCCAACACTGAGTGAGCTGATGTGCTGGCACTGCCCACCTATGGGGATTCCCATTCCTGGGAGGTTTGTCATGGTTTCTGAACCCGGAACTCTGGTTTGTTTGGGAAGAGAGGACCCAGAGGTGGGACTTGGGCTGTTTGTCACAGCAGGAGTAGCCAGCCTGCCGGTCTGTAGTGTCCTTGCTCCCGCCCATCCTGTCAACAACGCATCGTCTGTTCGTTGTGGGTTGCTGTGCTGTGCAAACTGGGTCATTGTCTCCACCTCCAGGGATCAAAGGAGGTGATGGATTAAGAGTGGTGATGAC